CAAGCACTCATTATTGCAAACCCTGCAAGAGTATCATCCAGGAAAGTGTTTATCGTACAAGACACCATGATCCTCCAGCCAGCAACCATCTTTATGCCTCTGCTCTTTCTCCTTGTGGGTAAATTTCCTCTCAGAACTGATTTCATCTCTGTCCACAGTCAGGAGACTCCATTGCTTGAAAAGTAAAAGCTTCTAAAAAAGAAATTCAGCAACCAAGCCCATTTTCTCAGAGAACACAGAAAGAGATTCAGTGGTGGGTGATGCCAGAAGTCCATGGGACTGGTGCATTGTCCAGGATGGTGAAGCATCCGAGCCAAAGATGTCCTGGCTCCTGGTTTCCTTCAGTTTTGAAAATGTTGTCATTGATTTTCATGAATGCAGGATCAAACCCACAAGACACTTTACTGCACTATGCCCAAAGTCTCTGGGCATGCTATTGGGATGCTATGGGGTATGCTATGGGAATAGATCTCTTTCTCAAGGATTAGACTCTTAGGTCACCTCAAGACCCATCAACAAGCTGTAGTAGAGATCATCCTCAAACTGAGGGATTGAAGACTCTATGGGGGATCCCAGTAAACTTAAACAACATGCTTCTTTCCCACAATTTTTTAAAATTTGCTTGATGCAGTGTACTAGCAGCAGACATGTAAGATACAGATACTTGTTTCTTTCCTAGTTATTGATTTGATGTCTTTTTCAATGCTTTCAATATAATCTCATTTACCATTTGCCACGTGGAGGTTCTGATCAGGCAACTGATGTGTACAGGCTCAAGGGTTTGTCTGCATGGATCAGGACTGCGGCCTTTGTCAGTTTCATAGTATCACAGTATCATAGTACTTAGGGTCAGAAGGGACCTAAACAGATCATTAGGTCCGGCCCCCTGCCCCAGGCAGGAAGGGGTGCCAGGATCATATCACCCCAGCCAAATATCTGTCCAGCCTCCTCTTGAAGACCCCCAAGGTAGGAGAGAGTACCACCTCACTTGGGAGCCCATTCCAGAGCCTGGCAGCCCTAACTGTAAAGTAATGTCTCCTGATGTCTGCCTGAACCTTCTCTCTAACGATTTGTGGCCGTTACTCCTAGTAACCCTGGGTGGTACCCAGGGGAACAGTCTCACTCAGTTCCCACTGGTCCCCCCTGGTGAGTTTGTAAATGGCCACCAGATCCCCTCTCGGCCTTCTCTTGTGGAGGCTGAATAGGTTCAGGCCCTTTAGCCTCTCTTCATAGGGCCTGCCCTACTGCCTCTTTACCATGCAAGTGGCCCTCTGCTGGACCCTCTCAATGCAAGCCACATCCCTCTTGATGTGCGGCGCCCAGAACTGGATGCAGTAGTCCAACTGCGGCCTGAGCAATGCTGCATAGAGGGGAAGGATCACCTCCCTGGACCTGCTTGTGATGCATCTGTAGATGCACAAAAAGATGCAGTTAGCCTTACTGACTGATTCCTCACATTGGCGGCTCATGTTCATCCTGGAGTCAAAAATGACTCCAAGATCCCTTTCTACCACCATGTTGACAAGAAGGGTGTTCCCCAGCCTATAGGAGTGTTGCTGGTTCCTTCTTCCTACATGCAGTACCTTGCACTTGTCTGCATTGAATTCCATCCTATTCTCATCTGCTCACCTCTGTAACATGTCTAGATCTACCTGGATTCTGTCCCTCCCCTCCAGCGTGCCCACCTCACCCCACATCTTGGTGTCGTCAGCGAATTTGGACGGCGTGCATTCCACACCCACATCCAGATCGCTGATAAAGATGTTGAACAGTACTGGCCGCAGGACTGAGCCCCAGGGAACCCCACTGCCCACATCCCTCTGGGTCGAAAATGACCCATCCACCACCACTCTCTGGGTGTGACCATCTAGCCAATTTGCCACCCATCTGACTGTGTAGGCATCAATGCCGCAGTCACCAAGTTCTTTTAAGAGAATGTGGTGGGAAACCATGTCAAAGGCCTTCTTAAAGTCGAGGAAGACGACATCCACCCTGACACCCTCGTCTAGAGACTTTGTGACCTGATCATAAAAAGAAACCAGGTTAGTCAGGCAGGACCTGCCCTCAGTGAACCCATATTGGTTGCCCCTGAGCATTACCTCCCCTGCTGGGCCCTTGCAGATGTGCTCTTTGATAATTTTCTCAAAGTTCTTCCCAAGGACCAAGGTAAGACTGACTGGCCTATAATTGCCGGGGTCCTCTTTTCTCCCCTTCTTGTAAATGGGGACCACATTGGCCTTTTTCCAATCCTCTGGTACCTGGCCAGTGCCCCATGAGTGCTCATAGAGCTGTGCCAAGGGCCCCGCTATGACCCCCGCCAAATCCCTCAGCACCCTCGGGTGAAGAGCATCTGGACCTACTGATTTAAACATGTCCAGCCCCTTCAAAAGTTCCCTAACTAGGTTGTCCCTGACCTTAGGCATGGCAGTGCCTCCCCTGTGTCCGTCCACAATTCTAGTGGAGGAGATGTCCCAGTCCCTGTTCAGGAATATGGAGGCAAAGAATTCGTTAAAGAGGTCAGCTTTTTCATTTGCTGCCATCACCAGATTGCCAACCCGGTCCTGTAGGGGCCCCACGTTACCTGGTGCCTTCTTCTTACTTCCTACGTATTTGAAAAAGGACTTTTTATTATCCTTAATTCTACTCACTAGTCCTAGCTCCATCTCTGCCTTAGCCTTCCTAACAGCCTCCCTGCAATCCCAAGCAAAAGAGGTGTAATCCTCCTTGGTGATAGCCCCTTGCTTCCACTGTTTGTACGCCTCCTTTTTTGCACTCAGGTATCCCTGGATGCCTTTGCCAAGCCATGGGGGCTTTATAGCACTCCTGCCTCCCTTGGTGCGAACTGGGACTGACTCTCTTTGAGCTCAGAGGATCGTCTGCTTGAGGACCAACCACCCGTCTTGGACTCCCATCTCATTGAAGCTCCAAGACCCCGATGCCTCTCCTACTAACTAAGAGGCATTTAATGACAGTAGAGAGGGAAAAAATTAAAAAACAAAACGGTGTACTTTTAAAACTAGAACGATCAGGAGGGAACTCAGGCAAAGAGTTGTATCTGAAAGTACTGAAAGCATTTTTAATGTGTTTTTATTAGATTTCAAACAGATTGTGTCTCTGGAAATCCAAAAGCTGGAAATGGGTTTTTATAGTTCTTTGTTGTGCAGAACACAACATATCAATAATACTGGAAATACAAACGAATATCTAGAATTACAGAGCACTTACTACTTCTTTTGCTGCATAGCTAGCAATTCTGTAGTTCCTAAGTAATTCAAAAGTTAACATGTAAGGAGCAATTCTTATATCTCAAAACAGTGCTTATAAAAGCAGGCTGAAACAGCCAGGTAAGTCATCAGGTACAGTGACACAATTGGTGTCCATATGTCCTTTTTTGTGCAAATCATCTGGGTTCTGAATTTACCTCTTTCTGTTCAGCCTGGTTTTAGTGTTGGTGCTTCACATCCCAACCTGCTTGTGGTGACTGGGCTGCAGTGTTCTGCCTGAACTGCTCCTTCAATCCACAGGGAGCCAGGGTTGTAAAGCTACCACAGGGCACAACTGATATAACTGACATGAACTGAGCCTTACACTTCTCCTGCAATGACTGCGTGCCTGATTTCCCTTTCCTCTCACAAGTACACCACATCAAGCAATCCACCTGTGCAAAGCAGGGGCAAAATGACCAGAAAGATCTGCAGTGTCCTACACCCACTTAGCAGTCACTTTTCATAGGTATAAAAGTGTGCACAAAATACATGCCTGGGGGTGGGGGGGATAAAGCTCTGTGTTGTACTGTTTCATAGAGGCACAGAACTTAAAATCAGAAGGAAAAATGGGCAGGAGGATCACCTAGTCTGAGTATTAGATTAGTCTGGGCACAGAACCTCTCCCAGAAAATCCTGCATCAAACTGTACTTTCTACTGAGGCATAGCATCTCTTCTAGAAAGATACCCAACATTGAATGAGTGACTTTGGCTGACTGAGACTACAACTGATTGCTAGGGAAGTTGTTCCAGTGGTTAATTATTCTCATTATTAAAAAATTACATTTTATTTCTAAGGTCAATATATCTAAATAAAAATTCAAACCATTGGACTTTTTTTTTTTTGCTAGTAGCCATTTATTAACAGAAATCTGTTCCTCATTAGATACCTAAAAGACATAAATTAAATACATTAGGCTTCTTAAACCTTTCCATATAAGACCTTTTCTCCATACCTCAAATCATTTTGTTGATCCTTTCTGAACCCTTTCTAATTACTTCACACCATTTTTGATGTGCGAGCAACAGTAAATAGAAATGTTTTCAGTACTATCATATAGTGTTTGATGCACAGTTTCTCATTTGCCCCCTCACTCTTTCTCCCCTCCATTTCCTTCTCCTTCCCATCTTTATCACCCTCGATCCATCTCTGGTTACCTCAAATATCTTTGTTTTGCAGTCTCCTTTCCTAAATTTGTGACTGGCTTCTCAAAACAGAAATTTCCTCTTGGGACCTGCAAGCTCGATTCACTGTATACAGGTTTCTCTCTGTTGTTCTGGAAGCCACTGGTGTTCTCCGGGCAGCAATGAGAGGCCACATAGGCCAAAATGTGCCCTAGGCTAGCTGTCAAATAGTGCCAATAGTTTATGTATGTGCAGAGTGCTCAGCCAGAACTTGGTCTAGTCACTGCCCCCCATATCCATAGCAGAGAGGTCTGTTACCAAAAACCCAGTACCATTTGGTCTTTTGAGAGACAAGACTGCAGCTTGTTTATGATCAGGGCTATTTTTGCAAGCTTAGACACAGAATTCAGGGACAGTTATAATTCCCTTACTGCTTACCCTTTTTGTACACCAAGTTAAGATACAATTACATTTTCCAATGATCCTTCACTCCCTTTTAAGAGGTAAGGTACTACTACCATCCAAGTCAGATAGAGAGACAACAGACAAGATAAAGAGGCAAGGATTATAACACAACCTTTAATTGATTACACCCCAAAGCATGAGAATAAGCCTGTCTAGCTACTTGCAACCACACTATATAGATTCTCACCTATACTGGCTGGTGATGCAGGAGGGAGAAAGAACGAGGCATGCAGGCTGGCAGCAGGTTGTCTTGAATCTGCTGAGGTCTTTCCCAGATTCTGTGTTTATACCCAATATGTATATGTGGGTTATTTAAATAAATATTTTGATTGGTGTTATTCAAATTTATTTGTTTTACTGGAACTTTGGGAATTAGACCGAACCAGTTTCTGTTGCATTTGAAGGAAGCCAATTGGCTGTGTTCTTGTGAAAAGTGCAGTTCTGGGTGAGAGGACTTCTTATTTCTTTTCCTCACCATCTGGGACTGCTACTTGCCATGTTCTGTTTCTTTTACTTTGCTGAGTAGGCCAGCTGTAATACAGAACAGGTTAACAGTGGCACATTATTAGTGCAATAGGATTCTAGTTGACTACATACAACTTAATTGTTATCACAAGGCAAAACATTAATTGTTACTTTTAGCTCCTGTTATACACTTTTTAAAAAAGGAGTTATTTATTTTCGGCCTGGTCTGATATTAGAAGCTTAAAAAACAGATTTTTTGTTTTACTTTTCCAGGCTACCACTTGTGATTTAAATGCAATTTTATTGATTATTGATTTTATACCAGCTTAGAGAGATATCATGTATAACTCAGAGTTTTGCTAGGTCTATAATCTACACTGGTCAGTGTGGTCTATCAGTCACTGACCATGTCTACAGCCCCCAGGCCCTGCTCATATACTTTATCTCCATTTAGGGAAATGCAGACATTTTACAGTGGGTCACCTGATAATAGGTTTTGCTGATTTCATTTTTTGTCCCATCTTGAGGAGTGCAAGCACTGACAGTTTTTGGTGTTTCAGAGTCTGCACAATGTACTAAGGCTGCTATCACAGTGGATCAGTGTCACAGGCCAGCTGGGCACTGCGAGTGTATCAATTTTATCACAGGCCAACTGGGCTGTTTGATTCAGTTTCAGATCGAGGAGGCAAAGTTGGGAGTGAAGCAAAGGCAAATTTATTATAGCTTACACACACACACAACAGTTAACAGAAAGATAAATGCAATAAGCAGATAATGCAGTATTAAAGAGCTAATAGTAAATAATAATAACAGATAATAACAACAGATAGATTGATCAATTCTGTCACAGGCCAACTGGACACTGCGAGGGTATTAGCCACTGGGCTGTTCAAAACAACAGATAGACAGACATGAGTTGGCAACTTATCAATAGTCCCTCAATGCCAGGTATTTGTCAAGTGATTCCAGTGAAGTCAGGCGCCCCCGACTGACGCTGTCAGAGGGTTACCAGGGAAGATCCCTTGATCAGGATCCGATCCTTACTCATACCAGGAGTCTGGGGCCGGGCTCGAAACAGAAATGACTGTTCTGTTCCCTCCTTCCTGCTGGTGACGCACGTGCTTTTTATATCTAGTCTTGTGCTAATGTGTTGGCCTCAGAGCCACTCACAATGTTGCCCTATAGCTGTTACCCTATGGGACTGAAAGGTGTTAAAAATTATCACAAAAGGTTACTACCCAGACTCGGGTTTATCCAATAAGCAAATTATGATGCAGCACCTTTAGGTTTGAATTTGACATTGCTCCGCCTATGTTCCAAGCCCTTTTAGGTTTCATTTGAATATGCTTTCTTGGGATGTGCCTTCCTGGAATCTGTTGGGTGTGCCAAGCAGTTTTTTACTGCTAAGGCTGAACCCTGAGCAAAAACCATTGGGTCTCCTAATCTTACAGCTACAGCTTCGCCTATGGGGCCCAGTCAGTTCCACGAACAGTTAATTTATCATTTTGGTTAAAATTAAAGCAAACAAGTTACATTTGCAGTTTACAAACTTACAAGCTTTATATTAACTAATATTACCTGTTTAGGCAAAATACCAAACGCCTCCAAGAAGCACATATTTATTGCTTATTAATCCCTCTGGTTCTGGCTGTCACAATCAGACACCACCCTATATCAATACAGCAGGACTGGAAATCATCATTGAATGCAGAATCAGTGGAAATTACACTCCCAACAAGGGGTTTGCTAAATGGCATGCAACAGGCTCTGATGGAGTGACAAAAGATTTGAAGGAAACGGACCAGATCAATATAACCACCAATTTAAATTCTAGCTTTTCATCCCTTACATTTTTTTGAGGACTGTATTTACAAGGCATCAAGAATAGCTCAAATTCTTTGCACTGATGCAAGGTCGATCCTGTTCAACCCTTTGTTGGGATGAGATTGCTTCCATGTAACCAAAATATTACTGCATTTTGGGGTTATGCAATGACACTAGGCCCTGTGTCCCAGTTCTCCAGGGCTGTCCACCTGATGGCCTGTGGGCTGCAGGCAGCCCGTGAAAGGTCGGCCCGTGGCCCTCAGACTCACCCTGACTGCCACTCCCTTCATCACTGACTGCTGTTGCCTAGGAAACACAGAGAGCTCATTCTATGGATAGAGAGAGGGGTATCCAGTTGAATTCTTAATATGCTCAGAGAATATTTTAATAGCCAAGCTCTAAGAAAAGACATGAAATACTGGAGAGGAAACTGTGGCTTTAAATGTTTCACCTGATACATACAATTTTCATGAAGGCAAAGTAATTTGGGTCTCTTTCTGCAGCTGCTGACTTACTGTTGAATCATACTCCTGCCTTAATCAGTGAAGTGGAAGGGAGGCAGCTAAATGTAGATTTAAGCCAGTGGACAGCTCCACCACTGCATAGTATTAAATGTTATAAAAATGGGACTGATTGATATGAGAGGGATCTGGAGAATGAAACAGGCCCACTCACAATACAGTTCAATTTTTCAAGGGACCTGGCCTCTATCAACTTGACAGAAGTCACTGCAGGTGCCTCTGGGCTCTAGAGATGTAGCTGATAGAAAGTGGGGGAGGGTGACATTTTAGTTTGAATGAGCTCTGACTCTTTGGGTGGCAGCAATTACCAGTGATCCTTTTGGCAAATATCTATGATATGCAGCATTTCAGCAATGAGAGAGTTAGAAAGTGTCAGAGTTCCTGTTCTGTGTGAATTCACAATAGGCAATTGTGTGTTATATCAAGGTAGCACTGAAAACCATATCTCAAGAGAAAGGCTTAGTAATACATTCTGGTAATGGGAAATTACAATCCTCCTCATCTCATAAGATGGTATAGCAATTCCATGGATATTTGAGCTCTATTTTTAAAAGAAATAGTTTGAACAGAAAAGGAACAGCACCCAGGGACACCGACAGAGCTTCGCCTTTGCTCAGGTTCACTGACACTATGTGAAGTTAGGGATGTAACCAACTGATGGTGACTGGAGGTTATGACCAGGGACAGATTACTCTACAAGGGCCTCATTTCTTATGCTCTTTCTGTAAAGACACCATTATTTGCCACTGCCAGATGTAGGATACTGGGTTAGATTGACTTTTGTTTGACTCAGGATGGCAGTTCTTAAGTTCTCAAGATTTCCTTTGACCATACCAGTCAGCAGATGAGAGGAAACCGTAGCCAAATATTTAAGTCCTTTTCTGCCCTAGAGTCAATAAGAAAGTTAGCTCCATCTTCAGAATAGAGGAGAATTTCCTTCTTAACTTGAGTTCCCATCCAGATAACAGCCCAATATTCAGGATGATGACAAGTAAATGGAGATTGAAGTACAGGGATCAGATAGCTGGAACAGAGCTTTCAGGGATGTTTAAAAAGTACAGCAAGGGTAAACCTTGTTGGCAAATTAAGTCTGTGTGCCATATCCTCCAGTGACGTCAATGGAATGAGACTCGTACATCAGCTGATGATCTGGTCCTCAGACTTCAAGCTCAGGGTGCCTGGTAGTAAGAAGCCCTAAGTTAAGCACACCCAGATTTTATTGATGTTGTTAAAAATCTCACTGCTCCTCAGTGCCCTTCAGGACTCTAGGGCCTTCAGTAAGAACTGAGGTTGAGTTTTGCCTGTAAAAAATGATCTTACATGCAAGTTAAAAAATGGCAATTCCAACTAAGTTGAAACACAAGACGCCTGGCAGACTCAACATGTTGCTTGGGTAACAAGCCAGAAAGGAACTGAAAGCAAATGCATAAACACTATTTATTGGCAGAATTCTGAAAAAAATCCACCCTCAGCACCCTTCTGCTTCTTCCCTTGGGAGAGCCTTCCAAGGCATTTTTATTCAAGAGATTAAGGTAAATGCATCAAGTGGTCAAATGTCTCTGCAACTGGATGCAGTCACTTGTAGCTTTCTTTCTGCAGCTGTCCACCTGCTGGTGAATCAGACTCCTGCCTTTATCAGTGAAACTGAAGGAGGAAAGGTCACTATACAGCGTAGCTTCTTGAAGAACTCAAGCATCTCATACACTGTCAAATGGTATAAGGTGGGAACTGATGGACATAAAGAGGACCTAAAAAATAAAACAGGTGCAGTCACAACAGCTCTAGGCTTCTCAGAGGGCCTAACCTCTCTCACACGGCTAAATATCAGAGTGACTTTGGTAACAATGGCCATGGAAATAGAACCACAGTGAGGATCCTGGGTAATCATCTGCCTTGTCTTCTCTAGTCCTTGCAGTATTTCCTAGGGGAGCATAAGGAGTGGGAGAAAGAACTGATCACATCCTTTTGTATGTGTATGGAGTTGCTGGCAAACCCAAGAAGTAAAAGGTATATCAAGATGTTCAGTAAGAGTCCAATGATTGAAGGTAGCCTCCAAGGTTCCTCCCACACTGTTTAACTTAAGGTTTCCTCCTATCCCATTTCTGAAGTCTGAGGAGCAGATTGTTGGCTGGTACAACTATCTGTTAGTCATGATTTAGGTGTGGTTGATTCTGCTTTGGGACATGAGCATTGATTAGATGGCCTCTCAAGGTCCCTTCTATCCCTATTTCCTATGATTCCCCATTCATCTAAGTACCTGTACCCCTTCTCTTTTCTTGGAGTCTGACATGCAGTAACACTGGATTACTGCTGACCAAAATTTTCTAAATCATTTTATGGTGGATAAAACACATCTATCTATTGAACTCAGATAAGCATCTAATATTCAGATGCTTTAACACCTCAACCATGTTAAATGGTAAATTTCATCATGACAATCTATCTTGCTAGATTTCCAATATTCCCCAATTTGAAGCAAGCCAGAAATGTCCCTAGAATTCCCCTTCAGCCCAGGCTTCCATTTGTTTCTAGATATGGACATAAGTTCATCTTTGCTTTAGCTTAACCATTTTGCTCATCTGATACCATCTTCTGACACAAATTGGCTTCAATTATCGTTCTTCTGAGCAGAGACTGAGGTACCTTTTCCTCTGCTGCTAAGCCATGCAAGTCCTTTGGTGAACTCTGGGCCCAGCTCATGGCACCCTCCCCTACCATTAT